GGCCCTGGGCATGGCACTGGAAGCATTTCAGAGAATGCTACCATAGAGGTCCTGCCTGGTCTTGAACCTCCTACCTAGCAGTCTAGATTTAGCTTCCTGGACATCTCTGCTACCCTCGCCCATATTGTTGGTATCAACATAGACCATGACCACTGGTTCCTCCCCAGCCTTCCCTAGCAGCCTATCTGCACATCTCATGAGGTCTGCTACCTTTGTACCTGGCAGTGGAAATCCTCTTGGATGTCACAATCCCATCTATCTATGTGCTTAATAATCAAATCGCCCATTACCACCACCTGCCTCCTTCTGTCCTGTGGAGTTCCCTCCCTTGGAGGAGTATCCTTGGTCAAGAGGATACTGTAACATCAGCCGGAAGGTGGGTCCCATTTAAGGGATAGTTTCCCTCTTTCCCAGCTTGAGGCTCTTCATCCCTGAGGCTCTTATCCTCCTCAGCAGAATGGTAACTACTACAGTGGAGATGGGACAGCTCTAACAATGTCCCTGAAAACCTTATCCCTAAATCTTTCTACCTCCTGTAGCTGCTCCAGTTCTTCCACCCTAGCCCTGAGAGGGGCTCTCTGCATGTGTGGGATTGACAGGTTGGTACAGGTGAATGAGTGTGGACCTAGGAGGTCAATCTCTTCCCTGTGTGTTTGGAGCAGCATGAGTCTTGATGTTGGGACTGATGGCAAGTCGTATGAGTCTTGAGCATGGATAGAGGCTGAGTGAGGGTTCAGGGGACTGATCTGGTCTATTGTCTGCATGGTCCAGAACGGTTCTTCGGGTGAGGTCCTAGGAGGACAATACCCTGCAGTTTCTTGGGGGATTGTTGGCACTGGTGAGGGCTCAGAGAGGTCAATATTCTGATATCCTGTTGGTGTGCATGTATATGTGGTCAGAGTGGAGAGTGCTGGCGTGCCATCTCACTGATAGGCTGTCAGTGAGTGAGAGAGCCTGCTGCTCTCAAGCACCCCAGTGAGCACGCCTCTGTGTGGGTCATTGCATTGTTTATTGCTGTTTTAATAGGGGAGGGTTTGGGGGTTCATATTTTTGTACACACTGTTATCGTTTATTGTTGTATATAGTTGGTTTTATTCCTTCTATTTTTGGTGTCTTTGATTTTTTGCTAATCAGTTGTTTTTAGCATCGGGGTAGCACTGGGCTACACTGAAGAGAGCAGGCCTGCCCACTTTCCTTTCATTAAGCATCTGTCAATTAGCAAATTACTTGATTGGCTAATTACCCACAACACTTTTCTATATATCTTGCCCATGGGATTGTCAGTTTTTCTGTATGAAAGTACATGTATCCAACCAGTATGTTCAGGCCATTACTCAGAGATTGTGCAGCTTCCTGTCTGCCAAAGAACCACATCATTTCACATCAGATCATGGCCTGCATATGCATTTAAAAAAAAAAAAATGGTTTCCACCTATGGACCCAAGTAGGTGGAATGTAGCAACTCAGGGTAAAGTTGGGTTACATCTAGACCATTCCAAATCTGTGGAATATTGGGTGGTGTTAGTTAGCACATGTTGTGAACAGTTGTATGTTAAAGGTTAATACTGTTTCTTGCCTGCACAGCTCTGATCTGCTGTTAGAGGGCTGGTGAGCAGGGGTGTGGCTAGGAACTTTATCCTTGCCTAGGGAGAATGGGTGAGGTGGGGGGGACAGGGAGGAGGGACTGGAAGCAGTGCATCCTGGGATGTTGGAGGATTGCTAATTGCTTGTTTTATCTCTGTGGAGCAGACGGAAGTTACCCTAACACAGCCCAGAGTTAACTCTTGCCTGAAGTGGGCACTTTACTTTAAGTTGTACATGTTTGTGTTTTATGGGCACTTAGTATGGTCTAAGTGTAACATGTAACTTCACCCTCAGTGTCCCCGAAGAACAAGGGGGCACTGTTCCTCTTTAGGTGGTTTGTTATGTAGAGGAAATGCGTATGAAATAGTCTGCTTTTCTTTTTCTGGCCTGATCAACATTTAACTAGACCTTGAAGTTTTTAGGCTTGATTCTAATGAGTGACTAGAAAAATAAAAATCACTTGAAGTCTGCGAAGAATTTTGGATCCTTCAGGGTGCAAGATATTATGTCAGCTGAGATTAGAGCTCAGCACATGATCTAAATATTCATTTTGTGGTAGGATACCTAATGTGATGTTAGACATTTTTAGAAAGGCTCCAATTCCTGAAGGTAACATAGAATGTGGTGACCAAGTTTGTATCTGTGTGCAGTGTTCAATTGATTACTGCTAATGGAATATATTGGGGACTGTCATTTGTTTGTGTATAAGTTACCTCAATTGGCTGAGCTAATGGGGAAGCTGCTTTTGGCTTGCCAGAGAGAGGCCTTTTGATTTCTGTATTAGGAGCAGAAGAATATGAATTCTATTCCTAATGCTGTGTACAGGCAGCTGGCTGGTATCCATAATGTCTTTTTAGCCACAGACTGTTAGAAAAGGTCTTTCAGTTCTTTATGTACATTTTAGGATTTATTTTTATAGAGAGGAAACTTGACCTTGAAGATGAAGATTTTAAGCAAATTTTACATCCTTGATTTAAAATGGGTGTTCCACATCCACATAAAGTGAATGGAATGAGATCTTTGCAGTAAAATTGAAACCACAATTACTTATATTTGCTTCTCTTAAATGTCTTGTAGATGGAAGGGCAAAAGTGGTGATTATTTCTGACATAGTGAATAAAGATATAATTTGCTTTCTCTCTCTCTCTCTCCTTTCATGGTTATATGGTAGATAGCACAGCCTCAGAGATTCAATTCTGTAGTCCAAGCCAAGAATGGACATGCACATGCATATGACACGGCCACATATATCTATGTACATATAAATAATGTAACTTTATTTGGATGCACGGAGTATGCAGGTATCAAATGTCAAACCATATTGTAAAATGGAATTTCTTCAGACTGACAGTCTTTTTCAATCACAACATTCAATAATATTAATTAAACCCAAACACTTTTTAGGTTTTTTATGATATTGCATTTGTAGTGCATTTCTTTATTAGACATATCTTTAAAAAATAAGTTAATTTTTTACAGGGAGAAGGTGGGAAAAAGTTGCCTAAGCAACCTAGTAGTATTAATGGATAGAGCATGTGAATGCATTACTTTGGCCATAATACTTTTAGAGGCTTAGGATAACGTTTGTGGGTTCTGATACGCAAATCTTGAATAAAGCAAGGAAATGCATTAGCACTGATGTTAGGTTGTTAGGAAAAAGATTGAGGTTGACCCCTAGTGCCAATTAGCAACGCCTAGGAGTAGCAAGTTTCTTAAATGCCATCTGAACAATACTTGCAGAAAATAACCAATAGCCAGTGGTCTATTACCATAATTTTACAAGAGGTTCACTTAATGTTGCTTGGTTGGTGATACAGGTGACACTTTTCTGGCTAAACTATTCCATCCCTAACTAGAATCCATTGGTTCTATATTCTTTCCCTCTGTAATTCAGGACATATCTGTTTCATTCTGTTGCCTGGTCTGAGTCCATCAATCTCTTCACCACCCCCTCTTCTGTTGTCATTTTCCTTTTTATTTCTTGTCATTCTTACCTTGAATAGATTCATCTGAGTTGCCCCCCAAACAACCAAATGTTGTTGTACCAGCAACCCATCACAATGGGGATTAGATTGTTTCTTGTGATGGGTTGGTTGGTGGAATAGGTTTCTTTTGGCTCCTTTCAGTCAGGGACTAAAGTGGGAAAACAGCTTGCAGCTTCCCATCATTTTTCCTTCTCTTCTTTGGCACAAGAGGCTGTGGAACAATGCTGAATTTCCTGCAGACTGCAGAGTACTTTCTGCAGCTGCCAGCTACAAAAACAGTTCTGAAAAACGTTACAAATTTCTAAAGGAAAGGAAAGGATCCATAATAAAGAAGGCAACACTTCAGCCATTATGCATCAAGGTCCTAACCCAGCCTCTGTCCCAATAGGCAAAGAGTGCTGACAGAAGTAACATTTGAAACATTTCAGATGCCTTTGAAATGTTTCAGAGAGCCAGCTATACAAACCTGCGTGCCCTTTGAAATGTTCCAAAAGCAATTGAAGTGCTCCAGTATAGTTAGTGCCCCCCCGCTTAAATGATTTCTTGGCTGATCCTGCACTTGAGGGGCTGCCAGGTCCCTGCTAGGACTCCACTCTGCTGCTACAGAAACCCACGCCCCATCTCCAGTGCTGAATGCCACAGTCCTGATCCTCTGTACCTCTTCATTCTGAGTGGGAGAGGAAAGGCTTAGAGGATTTGGGACTGGAGAGTCAAAATTGTGAGGGTGAGGGGCTGGGAAGTCCTTGCTGCCACCACAGATATGTATCCCCTGCTGTTCCTCTCTCCCTGCCATTTTCCACCAGACCCATTAGAGCCCCCAGGTCCCCCACTGCTGCTTATGTCTGGCTCTCCAGCCCCATCATTCTACTTCTGTCTTCTGGTGCGGGGGGGCGAGGAGGAGGAGGAGAGGTTCAGGGGGATTGTGGCTGAAACGGTACCTTTCTGAAATATCTCCAAGTCTGTTATACTTAGCAGTGCTTCAAAAATTACTTCTTTCCTCACCCAAAACGTGTGTTTGTATGCTGTTAAGTGATTTTTTTTAACACACATTTCCATTCTGTCTGCAACCAAGCCTTCATGTAGCCTTGTGTGTTCTAATCTTTCTAAATCTGGTTCCTGTGGTGGACCCCATGATTGCAACTTGTTTCAAAGAGCTGTGAGAAGGCAGGATGATGGTCCTGTGTTGCTTCACTGCTGTAATAAAAATGATTGTCAGAAGTGGCTCTTTGTGCTATACAATAATCCAAGCATCTCAAGAGAATGGCAGTTATGTTTTATGTAATGTGCCTTGCCCTTTGAGTTTGCATAGATTGCTCTGCTTCATAAACAAAAGTCATCATTATTCCCAAAATGGGAGATTTTACACTCTTTTGTATCAGCTTACTTTTCTTCAATTTAATTTGCTAATCAACTTTTTTTTTTTTTTTTTAGAGTCTGGCCTATGGAGAAGCCCACAAGCAGACTGAGATAAATATGGCTTTTCAAATTGATAACCGCCTTGAGTCCTTTTCATTGCCAATTCAGCGGTAAGTGGTGCTACCTTTCATAAAACAAATTCCAAATTTCCTAAAATGAAGAAATCTGAAGAAAACCAAAACTTCATTTGTTCCTTGTGTAATCCACTCCCACCTCAGTATGGTGCCCTGTCTCTCTGTAGTGGTAGCTGGGGCTCATATGGATGCTGGCAAACCTGCAGAAGAGGTTTATGATTCTACATCCAGAGGTACCAGGCTGAATTTGTGTTGATGTTAATCTACCCTTGGGTGCAGCATAATTCTTTTTTTGCAATGGTTTGAGTTCCTTCCAAGAGATCAGCCAGCCCTATAAAATAAGTGATTAAATTCTGTAAATTCCTATAGGATGTGTAAAAACAAAACCTCTTTGCTGGAGCAACCTTAGCAAAATGTCATTGTGCAGCACTCAGAAGAAACAGAACAATCTTCTGTCTAATGAAAGGATCTTTGTTTAGGCATTGGTGTTGCAATGCTTGGGATTTACCTGCAGTGAATCCAGTCCCCACATGGGGGGACTGCAAAGATTGCTTAAGTTTTATTTTACTATGCAGCTGTCATTTGGCAGCCAAGGCAGCCTTTAGTTTTCATTTATTTCTAATATAATACAGCTGTATGAGTAAATGATTGATATAACTAACTTCTCTATTCTCACTGGGCTAGACCCTTGAAATTTGCTACCATAATTTGCTATGACTGCTGAGTACAGGAACAGAATTGCAGAGGTAGACAGTAGCTGTTTCATTACAAGTCACCCACCTGTTAGCAAACCTACTGTACTATGTTTTACTAAAAACATCTTTGAGATGCTACCCTAGAATCTGTGGTGTTCATTCATTAAGGACTATTGACCATTGAGAAGAAAAAATAATGTAATTTGATTCTTCCATACATCATTGAAATAGAAAGCATAGTAGAGTTGTACCTTATAGATAGGGACCTACTTCATTCATGATGAGAAAAGCCCTTTTTGCAGATTTGTCTTAGTATGAAGCATCCATTTTGGAGTGGCTCTGCCCCTTGGTGCTGATTGGTAGAGAGGCCCTGACCCTCAGCATCAACTGGTAGAGAGGCTCCAGGGGGCAGAGGGGGAAGGACGGTTGAGGGGGTAGCCACCTTCTTGACTTCTGGCTGCCCTTTGTCTGGCCCCACCCCTTACTGCTGATTGGCAGAGCAGCCTGGGTTGGGGGAGGTGTAGGGAGGAGGAACAGCTCCAGGAGGGGAAGACTTAATAAAAACTTCCTTTTTAAAATTTTTTTGTGCAGATTTCATGGGCAACCCTGGATTTCGCGGTTTCCATGAAATCTGCAAAACCATGAAACCATGATTTAGGTAGGTCCTTACATATAGACTAACCAGTGTGTGTGTGTATTTTATACGATAGGCATGTAAATTTAATTTACACTGTTTATATAATCTATTGTCTCATGAGACCAACAGATGCCTAGATACGCACACATGCATGCACCCACACACACGTACACTTTTGTTAGTCTCATGCATGCAGTTACTCATACATGCACTGGCTTTGGCTAGATTATAAGGTGCAAATCTACCCTGCCTTCTACTTGACTTCAGATTAATGGGTGTCTGTACATATGCTCTAGGGTGTGGGAGGGGGATTTTACTTAGTGCGGCTCTTGGATAGTTGCTTTAATTAAAATGTCGCAGCATCATACGTATTCACATTTTAAAATGTCAGTGGAGGTGCTTTAACTAAAGCTCATTTGAGTTTTAGTTAAAGCACCCCCACCTCCATTTTGAAATGTGGGACACTGAATACAGGTGATGGTGAAGCATGCTGGCACATTCTAATTGGAATGCATCGGAGCATGTGTATAGGCACCCAGTCTGGCTAATTACATCTCATCGTTCAAATGCCAGCAGGAAAACAAAATATCAACACAATTGCTTTAGAGAGAATATTGGCCTAGTGTAGGTTAAAACCTTTGGAGAATCAAATTGCAGTCACTGGTTTTAAGAGATGCTGGCTTTACTAACCACATCCACCAAAGGATGGATTGCTGTCATCTACGTTAGTGCAAGCACTTAGTTTATGTCTTTTAAACTGACTACCTATTCAGGTTTTAGCTTGCATTCTCCATGGCTCACAGAAATCATTTGGCTTGGGTTTAAATGTGCTTCAAGTCTGAGCTAGCTTGTTCAGCTAGGGGTGCATGACTGTTTCTTTTACTTAATGTGGAGTTCATTCACACTGTGGTGAAGACACAGGGGAAAAACCATTCAAGCACTGAGTATCCTCCAGTACCTTTCTCTCAACTAGCTTAAAAAATAGGCAAGTTCTCCTTCAATTGGTACAGACTAAGATTCCTTCCCAGTCAACTATCTCAGCATAAAGAACCATAAGAAATGCCCCTAGTACTCATGAGTGAATGCAAGAACAGTGAGGGTGCACAATTGTGGTATGGCTTTGCTATGGAAAGGCTCAGACTAACACAGGCACTGAAACTTGAGTGCCAGTCACCCAGCTTAACTGTGCAATGAAGTGTGCAGTGGCTGCTAACAGTCGATCCTTGGACCTAAAGACAAACATTTAAAGTTGAAGTGCATCTTTAAGAGTTGTGCTTTACACTCCTGTTTGTCTGAGAATCAGGTTAACGAGCAGGAAGTGTGAGACTGCTATACATCACACAGAAATTATACACTTAAAAAATCTGGTTCAGTTTAGGGGTTTTTTTTTAAATCTTGTAGTACCCTACCAGACATTTTAAAGTGCATTTTGTTTTCAGAATGTTAAATTAAACATCTTTCCCAAATAATAACATCCTTTTCCATAGGCAAAGCACAGGATATAAAGTGGGCCTCATTTTACATTCCTTGTGCACCCACGACTACCAGTAAGGTCAATAATTATTTTGGCTGCACACAGAATTCAGGACTGGGGCCTCAAATTGTGCTCCTGTGCTGTTTAAATTGTTGTTTACACTGTTCTCTCTCCCTTATGATTTTGTGGGAAATCACAGTTTGGCTCAGAAGGCCCCGGAGGGTTGAGTCAGTACGTTAGTGGTTTTCTAGCATACTGTCAGATCTGCCTTCTCTAATTGACATCTGGACTGCTATATTCAGTGTTTGAAATGTACAGTATCTCTACAGAAACAAACAAAAACAAAAAAGCCAAAAAGAAAACCATTGTTATAAAAACGTATTTCCCATCTTATTGGGATCAGATCTTATCAAAAGTGACAGATGTATCTTTTATTGGAAAAATATTTGGAGGGGGATGTAAATTCCTTGTTTCTTTCTTTCCTTAGGATAGATTTAATTGGTTTTCAAAAGCTGTCAGTAGACTTACCATGAAACATTATTCTTCTAAGCAAACACAGAAAAATAGTATGGTTCATATAATTGCCATTTTCAGATTGATAATAATGGTCAGTTCATTACAGCCTTTTCAGTATATATTCCTTAGAAGTGTATACAGTCTATTCTGTAATGAAGTTACTTGCATAGCTTTTGAAAACTTCTATGACTGATGAAAAATACTTTTTTCACACCTTTCTTTTGGAACTTTTACTACGTTTAAATTCTCATAATTCTGAAGGATTTTTTTCTAGTAGGGAGCTACTTTTCTTTCCCCTGGATAATTACAGAAAATCAGACTTTTGTATATACTTAAGTTGAAGCTCATGTGGCAACCACCATTCTTTATCATATTTATTTTGTACAATCCCTTCTGGATGATAAATTCAAACCATGATATAAGTACAGGCATCCCGCATCTTACGCGGGGGTTACATTCTAAAGGCAGAGCGTAAAGGTGAAATCGCATATTACCGTGCCAGCGGTGACTGCCTTTGCCTCCAAAACCTCCCGCCACCACCACAGAGCCATGCTTAGAGCTGTGTGGCTGGCAGCAGCGGTGCAGTGCAGGGTGGTGGTGGGGATAGCTGCGTGCCGCCCGGCCACCACCATGCCTGGTGGCTGGCCACACAGATCTGGGCACGGCTCCATGGTGGCAGTGGGAGGTTTTGGAGGCAGAGGCAGCGTGGTGGTGGCCGGGCCTCCAGGTAAGCGTCAGCGCCACATGCAGACTCAAGGCCCCCCCCCGCGTATAGTTAAATTTGTGCAAGTTAAATGCGCATATGATGCGGGATGCCTGTACTTTCACTCAGCACGTTTGCTCAAACTGACCAGCATAAACTACCACAAAAAGATGTAGAAAAGAATGCTGTGTGTTATTTTTTGTTGTCTGTTTATTGACTGCCATGATTATGGCAAAAACAAAATGGTGTAGCAAATACAGAATATTTCAGTATAAAATGACCTTAGGAAAAAGTTTGTACATTTAAAAAACTCCATATGATGCATTTGTATTTCTCACCTGCTAAAGGCACACCTCCACACTTGTTTTTGGACATTTTTCTTCATAACAGTCAATCTGCTTGTTTTAAAATGCAAAATAACTAATTTTAGAGTAGGCATCTGCTCCTAAAGTGAGATCCTCCTTCCTGCTTTGGCCCTTTTTATATGTCACTGTACCAAGGCCCCTGCTCCATTACTGAGAGGGGGAGGGAGCCCAGGGCCCATTGACCAGCCCCTGGAACAGACTTAATGGAAAAAGGGAACCTTAAATAAGATGGCTGCCCACCCCAGGTGTAAGCATGATTGGTAGGCCTGGAGCAATAGACGGGCGGGTGACCGAGGGAGAGGTTCGAAAGCCCAGGACTTGGCCCAGGAGAGGCAGTCTGGCCATAGGAGCCACAGGAGGCAAAGCTCCAGTGGACTGCCTGGAAGAAAGGACTTTGCCCCACAGGAGGGTGGAAAAGACCCTGTGCTATGAGCAGCATGAGATAAGAACTTTGAACCTTTTGCATTTGTATTACTAAGGGGTGAGATTAACTCCAGCAAGAGAACTTACAATTGGTAAGTCTTATGTTTGGGAGCAGATGCTCATACTTTTGATTTATATTTAAACCGGAGAACTGTGGTGGCAGTAAGAAACAGAGGCCACTGGAGTGCAGCAGAGGCACCTGGTTTAAGCACTTCTACGGGCT